CTGAACATGCCCACTTCTTTCAATCTTTCCTTGTTGGTCTTGTTCTCCAGCCCCCAGATCATCCTTGTTGCCCTCCTCTGTACTTGCTCCATTTTGTCAGTATCCTTCTTAAAATGTGGGGTCCAGAACTGGACAAAGTACTGAAAAGGAGGCATAAACACTGCTGGATAGGAGGAAACAAGTACCTCACAGGATTTGGAAACTATACTTCTATTGTTGTTTAGTTGTTTAGTCATGTCCGACTGTTTGTGACCCCATGGACCAGAGCACGCCAGGCCCTCCTGTCTTCCACTGTTTGGTCAAATTCATGTTGGTTGCTTCGGTGACCCTGTCCAACCACCTCGTCCTCTGTCGTCCCCTTCTCCTCCTGCCTTCACACTTTCCCAACATCAGGGTCTTTTCCAGGGAGTCTCCTCTTCTCATGAGATGGCCAAAGTACTGAAGACTCGGCGTCAATTAATACTTCAATATTTCTATTAATGCAGCCTAAATTAGCATTTGCCTTTTTTGAAGCCACACGATACCTTTGGCTCATACTCAGCTAGTGATCTACGACAATTCCAAGATCCTTCTTTCTGGTAGCATTGCTGAGCAGGTATCCCACATCTTGTAGTAGGTAGATGATGAACAGTTACTTACAAAATGTGTCTTAAAAGACTCAGTTCCTCAGAACAAAATAACTTCCAGAAGAGATGAAGCTCTCCACAGGCAGATGTACCCCTAGGAGATGTTGGCAATTCTGAACCCAGCTGCTAAATTTTAGGTTCTCAAACAAAATAAACATTCTCCATTTTCTTCAGCTTCAACCAATATCTGAAATATGATGATTTTGATGGCAGTAAATAGCAACCCTAACTCTGCATTAAGAAGAACAGAGGAAGTCCAAGAATCTTTCTCAGGAACTTGGAGATCTAAAAAACCCCACTTTTTGTTTCATACCAAATTTCAACCTCATACATGAGGTGGGATAAGACTTTATCAGTAAAAAGTTAAAATACAATCAACTAATTAACCACCTCTGGAATATTTTTAAGAAAAACATTTGAACTGGTTGATACATTTATCTATTGAAAGATATATACAGGATCAGTACCCACAGTTTCACTTATCTTGTGCTTGAAAATATTAAATATCACCCCCCAGAAATAAGTGTTTCCAACATGTATTATCAGAAATGGCCACTAGAGGGATCCAGAGACCATAATGTATTCTTCCACAGCAAGACTACATAGCATGGTCTCTGGATCCCTCTAGTGGCCAGTTGTGGCAGAGTCACCATAGGTTAGAAATAACTTGCATTTTTATGCATGACCAAACTTCTATCTAGCAGCTTTGTGTAAGTCCCCAGTTGGACTGATGGGAAGATGGATTCCCCTCTCTTGTTCCGTGTTCTCTGCCTCTATGCCAGCAACCTTCAGCTGTTGGACTACAACCACTATCATTCCCACCAAGTTCTCATCCAACACATCTGGAAAGTACTAGGTTGGAAGGATGCTCTAGGTCAAGAGTGGTAAACAAAGGGAATTTCTGAACCATTCGCCCCACCCAACTATTTCTGAACGTTTTATTTTCAGTAGCTGTGCACTTGCCGGGTCCCATCCATCCCCTTTTGCTGTAGGTTTTGTTCCCAATCTTAAGCCCAGATCACAAAGCAAATCCTTCTCTTGGAAAAGATCTGGGAGCAGGTTGATGGATGTACAAGAACACTTTCAGAACACCTAGAAGCCAACACAGATTTGTCAAGAACAAATCCTGCCAAACTAATTTGATCTCGTTTTTTGATCAGGTCACCTCCCTGATAGACAGAGGGAATGCTATAGATGTAGTATATCTTTACTTTAGCAAGGTTTTTGACCAAGTGCCCCCATGATCTCCTGATTAGCAAGCTAACTAGGTTGGATAGAGCATGTGTCAAGTGGATACACAGTTGGCTACAGAACCATACTCAGAGGGTGATGATTAATGGGGTTCTTCTCTAACTGGGAGGCGGTTACAAGTGGGGTCCCCCAAGGCTCAGTCCTGGGCCCAGTGTTCTTCAATATCTTTATTAATGACTTGGATGAGGGAATGCAGGGAATTTGCAGATGATTCCAAATTCAGTGGAATAGCTAATACCTTGGAAGATAGAAACAAAATTCAGCATGATCTGGATAGGCTTGAGCACTGGGCCGAAAGCAACAGAATGAAATTCAACAGGGATAAATGCGAAGTCCTGCACCTGGGAAAAAGTAACCAATTACACAGTTACAAGATGTGGGATACCTGGCTCAGCAAAATTATGAGTGAGAAGGATCTTGGAATTGTCACAGATCACAAGCCAAACATGAGCCAACAGTGTGATCTGGCTACAAGAAAAGGCAAATGCTATTTGAGGCTGCATTAAGAGAAGTATAGCTTCCAAATCCTGCGAGGTGCTGGTCCCCCTCTATTCATTACTGGTGAGGCCTCACCTTGAGTCTTGTGTCCAATTCTGGACACCGCACTTCAAGAAAGATGCTAACAAATGAGAGCAAGTTCAGACAAGGATGGCAAGGATGATCAGGGGGCTAGAAACAACGCCTTACGAGGAAAGGCTAAAATAATTGGGCGTGTTTAGCCTTGAGAAAAGAAGGCTGAGGGGTAATATGACAGCACTTTCAAATGTTTGAAAGACTATCCTACAGAGGAGGGGCAAAATCTATTCTCGATCATCCCAAGAGTGCAGAACACGCAACAATGGGCTCAAGTTAAAGGAAGCCAGATTTTGGTTGAATATCAGGAAAAACATCCTAACTGTTAGAGCAGTACAGGAACCAGTGACCTCCGGAGTTGGTGAATGCTCCAACACTGGAGGCATTCAAGAAAAACTTAGATAATCCCCTGGCAGATGCACTTTGATTGTATTCCTGCCTTGAGCAGAGGGTTGGACTAGATGGCCTTGTAGGCCCCTTCCAACTTCACTTTTCTACAATTCTTTGATTCTATAGATGCCTGTGCACAACTGGATCATCCGAGCCTGAGGTTTATATGTCTGACACTTGTATCCTATGACCTTCAACTTCTGAACTTTTCAGAGGCTAAAAAGTCCAAGCCTTGAGAAAGGTTCATTTTGACTTCCATTGCAGAAGGAGGCATATAAATATAGAGATCATACACTGTTGTGAATGGAAAGACCTCTTATCCAAAGGGGATGGAAAAACACATGTTTTGTTTTTCACTGAAAGGGGGAGATGATTGCCACAAGTGTGTAAGAATTATGTCATAAGGTGAGTCTTATTTAGAAATGCCTTATTCTCTGCTATGCCATGCTTTTATAATATTTGAAAATACTTAACCATATAGTTTTTAAATAACTTTTTAAAGTGACTTGTATGAGGTGTTTCCTTATCAGCTTCTAACAACAGCTTTCGGCAGGATATGTTGGCAGATCCCTTGCAGTTACATTTCACTTCTTGTGCTTCCTTCCCTACCATGGTTGGCCACTGGACAGAAACAGGAAGCAATCGTGTCTCTTTCCATCTTGCTAGAAACAAGACACGCTTAGCGTATATTTATACGCTGCAACGACTAAAAGAGGTCTCATTATTCTAGCACCTCCTGTTCCTCACCTCTGTATCTTGCATTTAACGCCCTTGGCTTTGTGATTGATCTCTGTTGTAAGGTAAGCACAGACGGCTGTGGTTGAGATGCGTTAGGGACGAGGACATCCCATTGCTGAAGGGAAGTGATAATTGCAAGAAATATGCATTTCCTTTAACATCTAATTGGGTGCTCAGCTCTTACAGGAAGGAGATGGGGGAAAAAAACTGGAGTTAATAAATGGGAAGTCATCTCTACCACCAGGGGGCACATCAACTCCATCATGATAGGGACCCACTGAAAGTTTCTGTATAAATAAAAGCTGTGGTTGCTTCCAGGACAGGATTGGAGGGGGCAGATGTCCGAGGCCCCCATTATCAGGATAAGCAGAAGCCCCCCCCCCAGGGCTGGGGGTGGGAGAGAGAATATTGACACCAAAGTCCCGGAAAACATTACTCAAAAAATCTCAGGATGCCCTGACATATTTTTGTGCTGGTGGGAAAAACAAACTTTAGAAGCTGACCAAAGCGAGAGCGGCAACTGACCTCCGTACTAGAAATGGGACTGATCCTGCCCTATCATCCAGAAACCTATATTTTGCTGCCTGAGGTAAACAATAGTGTGGAATCCTCCGCCTTCATGGAAAGCAGCTGACAAAGTGGCAAGTGATCCTGATAGCAAGAGAAGGTCCTCCATTCCACTAGGGGGCAGCAGGCTACTGCTCAGGGCATAGGGTACCACACCATCATCTGCAGTCCAACAGATAACCTTCCTAAGTTCCACTGTCTAAGGTTACAACCAGCCCTCTCGCTCATCCATCCCATAGCCATGCTGGTGGGGGAACTCTGGGAGTTGTAGTCCCTCCCCCAAATAACTTCACAGAATCATAGAGTAGGAAGGGGCCTCTAAGGCCATAGAGCCCAACCCTCTGGCTCAAGGCAGGAATCCAAATCAAAACAGATCTGACAGAGGGTTGTCATTTTTCTCTGAATGCCTCAGCACCTCCCGAGGTCATTGGTTCCATCGTCCTACTGCTCCAACAGTTAAGAAGTTTTCCTAACATTCATCTAGCGTCCAGTTGCTTAAGCCCATTATTACGTGCCCTGCACTCTGAGATCATCAGCTTCTTGAAACTCTGCCGTCCAATGGTAGGGCCGGCCCCGTTGTTTTCCCATTCGTCCGTCAGAACTTAGTGGGAGATAGGATGAAGCTATACTACAACAAAAAAACTGGAGAAACACATTGGATAGATTTCTGTTCCTGAATGGCAAGATCCCAAGTGGCCTGCCATGGTGAGGAGCGTGTCCTTCGCAGGCGTGCCTTCAAGTCAGATGCATTCAACTTAGCAACACCATTGGGATGAGGGCCATGGAGAAGGATGGAGAATGGCGGAAACCGCAGGCACACCTGTTAAAACAACCAACGTCTTTCTTTTTCCCCCATTGGTTTTTCCTTTTCTTTAATAAATACAGACTCTTCAATATCCAAACACCGGCTTTGTGATGAGCAGGACAGAGACGACCTCACTCATGGAAACCATAAATTATACAACCAACCAGAGGGGGAGGAAACAGATATTCCTTCCCCCACAATTAAAAATCAAATATTCAAGAAAGGGCAATCAAGGAGGATAATTTTACACCGTATACAGGCTGTTTGGGGGAGGGAGTGTTTCCCACTATGGAGCAGGATGGTGGGGTGTGCCTTATATTCCTTGAAGAGGCCACAGGCATCAGAGAGGTGCGCGCAATCCGACAGCTACGTCCCACAGTAAGTTCGTGACAGTACGTAAGTGGTCGTTCTCGCAAAAGTCAGTGCCCAGGGTTCTAGTCCCCCCTCCCCTAAAAAAGGGCTGTATTGCTATGTCAGGTACACCAAAGTGTGCCACGTCGACCCCCCACAGGCAGCTGCAGCTGTCCTTGATACAAACCCAGAACGGCGACCCCCCCCCACCGCAACCCCAAGTGTCCCACTGCTGTCCTGGATCTCTGAGGCCTTTCACGGAAGCTAAAACAAAGGTGCACAAAAGTTTTAAGGCTGCTGCTGTGGCCACCGCCATCTGGCAGAGGAGAACGAGGACACCCGGCATTCAACAGGATGATGAGATCAGAAGGCAACTCGTCGTCTTCAAAAGCCAAGGGACCGTGAATGGGTTGAGCGAGGCCTGGAGGAACACCATCGGCGAATCGCTCGGACTTCTTGAGTTCCGTCAAGCGGCTTGACAACTGTCTTCCAGGCGTCTGGACTTCTAAGCTCCTTCTGGTTTCTTAATGTGTCCAGGAATGCTTGGTCTCCTCTGGAAGGAGTCTTTGGCCATCTTCTGGAAAGCCATCCGGCGCTGTAGCACAAGGGAACAAAACCAAGAGAGGTGAGTGAGAAAGAAAGCAAAGAGAAGGTGGGTACCCTTGTCGTACTGCTCTGTCAGGAACGTTTTCCTGATCTGAGTGAGAAAGAAAGCAAAGAGAAGGTGGGTACCCTTGTCGTACTGCTCTAACACTCAGGAACGTTTTCCTGATCAGCGCCCACGTGAGCACTCCCCCGCCCCTTTGTGCATGTGCACAAGCGTGCATGAGCACTGTGCCACCCTTTGCGCATGCACACGAGTGCACTGTGCCACCCTTTGCGCATGCACATGAGCCTGTGTGCCCCTGCATGAGCATACCTGCTCCTTTGTGCATGAGTGTGTGCACGCTCCTTTGCGCCTGTGCACGAGCGCGGGGGGGGGTGCCCTGCTTTCCCCAGCCGGTCCGCAAAGCTAAAAAGGTTGGGGACCGCTGCCCTAGAAGGTCATTTTCCCAGGCTTGGCCTGTTTCTAAAAACTGCACAGGTACCACGAGATGGTTATAGCCGGTTTTGTGTGTGGAGAAGGGTGTCCAAGGAATAAAGCTCTGGCTGTGGGATTTGGGGTAGAGCGTGCGCATGCACATGCACTGGAGCTGTGCCCTCACCTTGGCATTTGGAACAGCAACTGCTCCCCTTTCCTTCCTCTCTGGCGCAAGAACCGGGAGAGCATTCCTCACGCTGGCACTGCGTCTCGCCAGACTGAAAGAAGAAGAAAAAGAAGTTGGCAAGGGGCTGTGACATGGGAGCCATGACGTGATGATTGCATCCATCGGAGGGGGTGCCCTTTCCTCTCCCCAGGGCTAAAATTTCATGCTTAGCCCTGAACATCCTTTCCAAATGGGTCTGACCTAGAAATGCAAAGGCCCGGGGGAAAAAAGCTGGAAATTAATGCGCAGGGAAAGGTATTCCCCTCTCACTGCTTGGGAAGAGGGGAGAGAAGAGAAGGACGTCTCCACCGCCCTGCCACGTTTCCTCCCCACTGCCATTGTCCTCTTCCCTATATCTCCGTTTTGCCCCCAGTCATTATGCGATTGCCTTATGAGATTCCATCTGGAAACTCGGACATGTGGCTCAGGAGGCAGGGAAGCTGGTCCACCCCAGAATTTTAGCCAGCATCTCCAACCCCATCTTGGTCGTGTGCCCAGGACGTGACCAGGGCTGGAAGTTTCCTCTGCCCCGCGGCAGCCTCCGCTCACTCACCAGACACCAGCAGGTGATGCATTTCATCTCCCCGAAGGGGGGAACTGCCGGGTGCCAGCTCTCGTTATGCGTGTACCACTGCCGTCCAAATTTGCAGGCTCTGGGGCCGTCGGCCTGCATCATGTCGGAAAACACGGCCGGACTCTTTTCCGAGGCTGCAGATAAAGGAAGAGGTGGGAGGGGGGGAAGATAGAGAAGAGCGTGGATGGCACTGATGCAGCAAAACACTCTTTGGCAAAACACAGACCCAAACACCAACATCACGAGTCTACTGAGAATAGCAGGAAGGATTCAAAGAAGGACTGAGATGTTCTTCATCAGGGACTCAATTCGGATTCAAAGAAGGACTGAGATGTTCTTCAGCAGGGACTCAATTCACTCCCATCTTAATGGCTGTTCTGAACACATTTTCTAAAAGCTCCCCATCTTAGTGGCTGTTCTGAACACATTTTCTAGAAGCTAAGAAACAACCCCCTGGAAAGTACACTGATACACTCCAGATATTTCAGAATACAAAACCTACCAGCCTTTGTTAGCTTGTTGTTGTTTTGTTGTTGTGTCCGACTCTTTGTAACCCCATGGAGCAGAGCATGCCAGGCCCTCCTGTCTTCCACAGCTTAATGGAGTTGGGTCAAATTCATGTTGGTCGCTTCAATGACACTGTCCAACCATCTCGTCCTCTGTCGTCCCCTTCTCTTCTTGCCTTCACACTTTCCCCACATCAGGGTCTTTTCTGGGGAGTCTTCTCAAGAGATGGCCAAAGTATTGGAGCCTCCAGGATCTGTCCTTCCAGTGAGCACTCAAGGTTGATTTCCTTCAGAACGGATAGGTTTGTTCTCCTTGCGGTCCATGGGACTCTCAAGAGTCTCCTCCAGCACCACAACTCGAAAGCATCAATTCTTCGACGGTCAGCCTTATTTATGGTCCAGCTCTCACTTCCATACATTGCTACTGGAAAAACCATAGCTTTGACTATGCGGACTTTTGTTGGCAAGGTGATGTCTCTACTTTTTAAGATGCTGTCTAGGTTTGTCATTGATTTCCTCCCAAGAAGCAGGCGTCTTTTAATTTCATGGCTGCTGTCCCCATCTGCAGTGATCATGGAACCCAAGAAAGTAAAATCTGTCACTGCCTCCATATATTCCCCTTCTGTTTGCCAGGAGGTGATGGACCCAGTGGCCATGATCTTCGTTTTTTTGATGTTGGGCTTCAGATCATTTTTGGTGCTCTCCTCTTTCACCCTCATTAAGAGGTTCTTTAATTCCTCCTCACTTTCTGCCATCGGAGTCATATCATCTGCATATCTGACGTTGTCGATATTCCTTCCGGCAATCTTAATTCCACCTTGGGATTCATCCAGTCCTGCCTTTTGCATGATGTATTCTGCATATAAGTTAAATAAGCAGGGAGACAATATATACAGCCTTGTCATACTCCTTTCCCAATTTTGAACCAATCGTTGTTCCATATGCAGTTATAACTGTTGCTTCCTGTCCCACATATAGATTTCTCAGGAGATAGATAAGGGAGTCAGGCACTCCCATTTCTTTAAGGACTTGCCATAGTGTGCTGCGGTCCACACAGTCAAAGGCTTTTGCGTAGTCATTGTTAGCTTGACCAACAGCAATGCACTGTGGGAGCTGTAGTCCACAATATTAGGAGGGTATCAAGTTGCTCATCTCAGTACTCTCCATGAGGTGTGTAGCATGGTTTCAGTGGAACCATCTCAGACTGTAGGAGACTCTCAGCAGGATGTATGCCCTTCTGTGCAAAAAAGTCCTACCATATAAAAAGCTAGCTTGTCCGGGAGAGGTTCTCGTATCTTCCTGACATGCTGGTTTTTCAAGATGAAGAACTCTTGTTGTTGAACTGTTGTTGTTGAGTAACCTCTATTGCAACTTGAAGTAGTCAAACTCAGGCTATGGCAGACCACGGTTGATGGCACTGTTATTGGCCAATCCATTTCTGGGCTTTTGTGGACCTTCATACTGTCCTGGCAAGGTCTCTTAAACTTCCATAGTTATGATCATTAAATAGACAGGCAAGCAAACTGAGAAACAAGCCCAGAGTCCTCGGAAATAAACTCTTCGGTGCCATAGATGAACAAACATGTTCTATGCATATTGATGCTCTGTGTGGGAGCAGGCTAAGGGTCACATATGGCACTTTGCACACAGAACAATCACGGATGCTGACTAGGCCCTTTAATATAGCTTGGTTCCAGATGCTTCCTGAACCTGTCTCTGGCACTAGGCTTACCCAAGTTTGGAAAAGTTACTTTAAGAACAATAACTACAGTATCCGAATCCTCCAGACGGGGATGGGTATCAGACACGCTTGCTGAGGGACTCTGAGAACAGCAACTCGAAAATGCAAGTATTCTATTTCTGGACGTGCCTTAGGCTCCTCTGGGATAAGTCAGGATATCTAAAACTTCTTTTCGGTTACTTCTTATCTTCCATTCCATTCTGCGCTGGCCCCTCCACATCTTGAATCTTGCCTCTAAGATCTGGGTGCCAGGCCAAGAAGAAGCTAGAGTGCAGCCAGGAGCATGAGGGACCTAGAAACCAAACCCTGTGAGGAACAGATGGAAGAGCTATGGTGTGTTTAGTCTGGATAGAAGAAGATTAAAGGGAGATGCGATTGTGGTCTTTTAAAATATCTGTAGGATTATCATACAAAGGAAAGGAGCAGGCTTGTTCCAAAGAGAGGCTAGAATTTCATTTGGTATATTTATACATTCATATATTCATAACTTACAACCTCAAATGTAAGTTAAAGTGAAATTCCTCCATCCCTAACTTGATCTCCAGAGGGTGGGAATACAATAAATGGGTGCAAACGGCAATGAGCAAAGCAAAAAGCAGAATGCTGCTTATACACCACCCCATAGTGCTTTAAGCGTGCTCTGAGTGGTTTTTTTTTTTTTAATTTTGCAGGCTATACATTACACATACCCCAGTAAGCTGGAAACTCAATTTGCTGAGCTTGGAAGAATGGAAGACAGAGTCAACCCTGAACTAGTTAATTGAGCTTGTTGGATTGAACTCAGGCTGTAAGTAGAGTCTTGACTGCATTACTGCAGTTTAACCACTGTGCCAAGAGACTCCAATGGGACAGATTTTTGCTACACTTTCCCAACCGTGAGAGGTCTTTAGCTGTTACTGCAAGAGGTCTTTTTCCAGAAATTACTTTATGTTGAGGTTGGCTGGACTTTTGTCAAGACTGCTATTATTACCTGGCTTCCTATTCTGAGGTCCCTTCCAGCTCTGTGATTTTAGAATTCCACATGTCCAATTGAGAGTTTTCTTTGCAAACACATCATATCAAATAAAGAGCTAAAGGTGACCATCGCTGGATGCAACTATCTACGAGAGGTAATGTGCTCTGTATGGAGGACTTGGAACAGCATCTAGTGTGGATGAGAAGGCCAATTCGAGAGTGAGAATCCCATCCACACTGAACACAAATACAGTCTGTCCCCTGTCCAGCTCCCTGATTTTGCTGCTTTCGGGACTGCCTCTTTGCCTCAGCCTGCTGAACAAGGGTCTCTTCAAATTGGGAGAGGCCATGAAGCACTGCCTGCCTCCAGGCTGAACGCTCAGATGTCAAGGTTTCCCATCTGTGGAGGTCCATTCCTAAGGCCTTCAGATCCCACTTGCAGATCTCCTTGTATCACAGCTGCCGTCTCCCTCTGGGGCGGTTTCCCTGCACTCATACTCCATACAGGAGATCCTTTGGAATCCAACCATCAGCCATTCTCACGACATGCCCAAGCCAACGTAGACGTCGCCGTTTCAGTAATGTATACATGCTAAAAATTCCAGCTCGTTCTAGGACTACTCTATTTGGAAATTTGTCCTGCCAGGTGAGACCAAAAATGAGTCATAGACGACACCTATGGAAGGTGTTCAACTTCCTCTCCTGCCGTGCATGCAAGGTCTAGGACTCACTGCAATACAGAAGTGTGCTCAGGACACAGGCTCTAGACCTGGATCTTGGTCTATGCATATACAGCTGGGAATAAAACTCCTCTTGCAGCTTATGCACAGTCACATCCATACACATGCTGAGATACAAGGCTCGTTAATGAGCTTGTGTCTGTGTGTGCTCTGGGAGATTTGACTTTAAATGACATAGACACATCTCAAAGGAGAGTGAACTCGGAAGTCAGGCAAATATTGCACTGTTTTACCGTAACACTTTCAGTAAAACCTTTCTTGCCGCTGGATCATAAAGAAAGCCATCCTCTCCACTCTGGGGAAAAAGCTCAGGACTTGTGATCTTGACAAGTGACTCCTGCAGCCTAGCCTTAGCTCTACGGGCTGGCACGCTCTCCTCACCTGAGCATTGCTTGCAGCAGTCGGAGGGGTTGACGCGGACGGGGTTTCTGCAGGTCAGGTGGGGACACTGGACTTTCTCACAGTGTACTTCTCCGGTGGCTCCCTGTGGGAAGAAGGCAGGCAGGTTTGGATGTGTGAGCATCATTCGTACACTATGCTCCTGAGCACCACATAACCAAGGTGCAGGAAAAGGTAACACACCTGCACATTGGCACACCTATGTATTTGTAGGCTAGCTATCTTATGTTATTGTTAAGCTAGTGGTTCCAGCTTTGGGTCCCCAGATGTTCTTGGACTACAACTCCCAGAAATCCTGGCCAGCACAGCTAGGGGTGTGTTTTCACCCAAGAACATCTGGGGAGTCAAGGCTGGGAACCACCTGCATAAGCTGTAGCAGAACCATCCTTTAGACAAGCCCGTCAGCCCCTCCCTGAAGAGACATGGCAGAGATTGGATTGCTTTTTATTTGGGCCTCCCCAAAGCTGACCCAACACCCCACCATGGCTGCTGAGGGTGACAGTCAAAAAACCCCAGTTTGGGGGCAAGAACTCCAGGTTTGCCCATCTTGGAGATTCTGGTGCCCAAGAAACGAAATGTTGCTTTCCAGAATGGCACTTAGCTTATTTCATCTCAGCGGCGCCAACCAGACACCTTATTCTGAGTAAAAAAAGCAAAACAAAACAAAACAAAAAAACAAAACAAAAAAAGAAAAAACAAAAAAGCACTTGCTTCTTTTTTATGGAAATGAAGGACATACTTCTCAGTGTAAAGATTCTAACAGAAACCGAGAAAGTATACAAACTCAATCAAACCTAGTATTGTCAACATTGATTGACCAAGGCTCTTTAGGGCTTCAGGCAAAATCCTCTCCTTCCATTATTGGGAAATCCCTATCATTTCCAAGTGGCCAGCAGTCTAAATAGCTACCCAGAGCCGACTCTGCTTAGCAGCCAAAAGCAGACAAGATCCATGTGTTCAGGGTGATAGGGTGGGAACTCTGTCCGTGTTGGATTTCCAGGTGCAGGCTGACCCAACTGAATCCTCCTCCGCCTAAACATGATCCCTTCAGACAGAAGGATAGCCTTTCAGGGAGAAAGTAACGCTAGAACACTTCTGCTTGATACGTAACTTTCTACACAAGGAGCATTTTCGTTCCGTTGTTTTGTCTTCCTACAGATCAGCTTCTACTGAGATAAGCTTCTCTTGTGGGTCAAAGATGGTGCAACTCAGAAATAGGCTTATTGCTGCAGTGAGGACAATGGTTGACATAAACAATTGAGGGATAGAAGGTGCTAGTCCTCATCAGTGTTGGCTGGCTCAGGGTCCAGGGTCTCGTTCAAAGCACAACGGAGGATCCTCCCTACCTTGCAGGTGCAAATAGCGCATTTGATGAGGCCAAAGGGAGGGACCACCGGGTGCCACCGGGTGCCAGCTTCCCGCCAGGTCTTGTCACCATCGAAGTAGCAGCCTAAAGCAGGAGAAAGGAAGTCAAAAAGCCTCACTTGACTCTTTCAGGGAATTGAGATGCTTTTTTCTTAGAAGTGAGGTTCCAACAGCCAAGCGATGACAGAACGAGCTTGCAATAAGGGATGCAACAGGTGCAGCCGTTCACAAGGCAGAAGGCTGGTCCACACCCACTCCTGGAGCTTTTAAGTTGGTGAAAGCATGCATGCTAGCCTCCCCCACCCTGATGTTGGATTACAACTCCCATCCTCCTCAGCCAGTCCAGCCAGAACCTCTCACGCACCCCTTCCCCTGTGTTTTACCTTCACTGCTATCTCGGACTTTCTCCGCTCTCTGTTCGTCTTCTGTCTTGTCTGTTCGAGACGAGAGGGTGGAGAAAAAAAGCAGACAAGCATACAGGGATCACGGGAGAGAGAAAAAGCAAGCTAGGCACCTCCTTTTCCACTTTCTCCACTGCCTTCCAGTCCTGCCAGCCACATGGCCCTTGTGGCCCTCTCCAGACCCCATCGGCTCCAGAACCACCCACGACCCCCAACGCCATCTGAACAATCCTGGCTAGAGCGCACCCAGTGATCATGAGCATCCTGCTTTGAGGTTCAGGTTGTGGCCAGGGGTGGGAAGGTCCTTGGCAGCTCCTGATTCCTTCCAGGAAGGGCTTGAAAAAGTTACTTTTTCAGATTAAAAAAACCCCAGCACTCCCAGGCCACCACCAGCACAGAGGTGAGGGTGGGTGGGGCATTATGGCAACCACATCCGAAAAAGGAACATTCCCATCCTCGATTTCCAGCAAAGGTATGCAGGGTCTTGGTATAGGATGATCGTTCTGGGAGTTGCAGAACTGCTGGTGAGCTCAGTGGTTTAGGTCTTTGACTGTAGAGGTTGAGAGTTCGATTCTCCACTGGGGGCCTCCTTGACAGGGGCTGGACTGGATGATCCAGAGGATCCCTTCCGGCTTTGCATTTCCAAGATGACTGTTGTTGTTATTGTTGTTGCTGTTAAAAGCACAACTCTGTGCATCCCTAGCTTCTAGGATCTAACTGGACCTGTGCTCCCCCTTATTTGAACATCTGCAGGTTTGGTCTGGAGAGGGTCCCCCACCCTGCTGTTCTCACGCTCCCTATATCGGCATCTCTGTGAATGCTTTCGGCATCATAGACCGAACCCCCCTCCCTCTTTCAGCAACTCTTCCCTTCGCGTGCCCTGCATTACCTTCACACGTCGGGCAGCACCGATCCTGTGGATGCACCACCCGGGAGCAGTTGAGAGGCTGGCACAGAACAGGGTCACAGATGACGGTGCGCTTCTGTAGACAGAGACAGGACAGAAAGAGGCAACAGGAGAAGAACTGCATAAAAGAATTACGTGAAAGGTGTCAGAGAGGGCAAAAAAACTAAACTGTCAACACTTCTGCTCCTGGGGAGGTCACTTGTTACCAAACTGACTCTCATCCGGTACGGCCACTTCCATAATCTTACCCTGAAGATGGCTCCCAGCAATCCATGCCTTTTCTGTCTTAAACGGCAGTATTTAAAAATATTATGATATGTTCAATTGGTTGTCAATCTTGCCACTTCCTGGCTGAAATCCAATCTTAAGTCCCAAGCTGAGCAAGGCCGATTGAATCAATGAAACTTACAAAGGAATCGTCTCGTCATGTCCCCAATGGGTCTACTTTAGTTATACTGAAATCCAATCTTAAGTCCCAAGCTGAGGAAGGCCTATTGAATCAATGAAACTTACAAAAGAATCGTCTCGTCACGTCCCCACTGGGCCTACTTTAGTTATGACTTATTACTGGATTTCAGCCACTGTATCTTTAATTGCATCCGTTTTTCATCCTGTTCTAAGCTGCCCGGGGAGAAATATGTCATAGGAATCATATTAATTCATTGATTTAATTAATTTTTTAAAAATGAAGCAATTCTCACCAGTCCAGCCTTGGGTGCGTCGTTCACTTCCTTCTTATGAAGATTTGAAGAGTTATTTTTTTTTTGACCACAAGGTCATGCAGGCTGAGGAATTGGGAGAGTCCTTCTGCTTTAAAAAGGCACACTTTCTCAAGCTCTTCACTGTTAGAGCAGTACAACAATGGGACCCATGACCTCGGGAAGTGATAAGCGCTCCAACGCTGGAGGCATTCAACAGAAAATTGGACAACCCCCTGTTCGATGTGTTTTGATTTGTATCCATATATTAAGCAGCCGGTTGGACTCGACGGCCTTAAGAGGCCCCTTCCAACTCCATGATTCTATGAGATCTTGCAGAATGAGGGATTTGGAGAGTTCTAGTTGGGTTTTTTTTTTAAAGGCATGCTTTCCCAGGCTCTGGGTTCCCTACAAGCAAACACGATGGTTGTGCACCCTCCTGGACATTCTACCAAAGGTAAAGGTCAAGGTTCCCCTTGACAATTTGTCCAGTCATGTCCGACTCTAGGGCACGGTGCTCATCCCTGTTTCCAAGCCATAGAGCCAGCATTTGTCCGAAGACAATCTTCCGTGGTCACATGGCCAGCGCGACTAGACACTGAACGGCATTACCTTCCCACCGTGGTGGGACCTATTTATCTACTCACATTTTTAGATGCTCTCGAACCTCTAGGTTGGTGGGAGCTGGGACAAGCGACGGGGGCTCACTGCGTCGCGTGGATTCGATCTTACGACTGCAGGTCTTCCAACCTTGCAGCCCAGAGGCTTCTGTGGTTTAACCTGCGGCGCCACCAAGTCCCTCTACATTCTACCAAAGCCACAACCTTTTGCAACACAGGTTCAAATTCTACCTGCTGGGTCTGATGTGTTAAAACACTGATTTTGAGAATTTGCAGACTTAAGATCATAACAAGACTCCGAGGCAATGGTTCCCTTTAGCCTCCAAAGAAAGGAGGTTCCCTGGGCAAGGGCAGGTATCTATACCAGCCACTTTTATCTGTGTGTCTCTCCCCCCCGGCATATTTCCACTCACCTGGCAACTACATATAGAACATTTCTTATCATAGTCTGGGGCCCAGCGGGAGCCATGCGGGCGATGCTGTCCTTCAAAAAAGCAGGAGTTGGGGTCTTTCTTCAACTCCTCGGGGTCTTTTCGGTTTGTATTCTCAGGAAGCTCTTCTTCCGGGACCTCGGGGGCCAGATGGACACCCCCTGCCTTGCAATGGTTGGGAATATGCACCTGAAAGAAAAGGGGCCATTAGACCAGTAGGGTCAGATTTGAAACCGCAGAGCAACCCAGCCGAAATGCACAAACAGGAAAGGGATCAAACTCCACGCAAACTTTGAGGACAAAGGTGATGATTAAAAACGCAAGAAAGGTATCGATGTGGGGCTATCTGAAAACACAGACCAATGGGAAAAATTATTTCTTGGACTACCACCCCATGAATCCTCCAGCTGGAGCTTCTTGGCATTAAAAGGTAAAGGTAAAAGTTCCCCTTGACAATTTTTGTCCAGTCGTGTTCGACTCTAGGGGGCGGTGCTCATCCCCGTTTCCAAGCCATAGAGCCAGCATTTTTGTCCGAAGACAATCTTCCGTGGTCACATGGCCAGTGTGACTTAGACACGGAACGCTGTTACCTTCCCACCAAGGTGGTCCCTATTGATCTACTTGCTTTCGAACCGCATGCTTTCAAACCACTAGGTTGGCGGGAGCTCGGACAAGCGACAGGCGCTCACTCCGTTGCGTGGAGTCGATCTTACGACTGCTGGTCTTCTGACCCTGCAGCACAGGCTTCTGCGGTTTAGCCCGCAGCGCCACCACGTCCCTTGGCATTAAGATCCCCCAAAAAGGAACTTTTAAAGCAAAGAATAAGAGCTGACTTTAGGTACAAGAGCCTTTGAACACAGACAGCCGCCCTGCTGCTACTCAATGGATACTAGACATTGTCCTTTTAAAAAAGTAACTTTTCAACCTCTGGCTTGAAAAAGATCCAGATTCTGGGACAGAATTGGTTCTGCCCTCACGGTAACAAGATCTCCTTTCTACACCCCTTCGTCCCTGATCTCACTTATCCTCGTGAGTTATAGCCGTAATAAATTTGTGGCCGTGGTGGCCAGGGAATCCTGGGGCCTGTAGTGCAAAATGTAACTTTCCCGTAGTCTGCAGCCACTCCTCCAAATCTCTGTTGTGCCACGCTGAGCTGGGAAGCACCACTTGAATGCTGCCCTTCCTGTTTCCTTACCACACCTCCACATCATCTTTGAACGGCTCCTCTCCTTGTACTGATCTGGCTGTCCTTCTTTCTCATCATCTGCTCACCAGAGACATCTCAACTGCAGCAGCTGTTTGTCATATGGGGAGGCTTTGAGAGACACCAAAGGAGCACAAGAAGCTTGATGAAGAATTTCATTGGCTATGCCAGGGTCAGATCCAGCCCCTGCTCTGGCTGACAGAGCCCCATCTGCACTTCTTTTGGTGGTCTGCCCCCCACCCCGTTCTTTTTCCTACACACAGCCCATTTCAACCTCAGCTCATAGGAAAACTACTTATTCAGCTACACTGGTTTCATTAAATTCCTTTTTTCTTCCTCATAGGAATTGTTTTTTATTGTGCCTTCAGGATCTCATTTTCAAGAAATCCCCATCCTTCATGCACCCCTTTCTAACCACAGAATCTCACTCAGTAGTTTCATAGGCTTACTGAAATCAGTTTTAAAAAATATTCTAGAGTAAGCGTTAAACCACCTTCCGCTTTCCCTTGTCTCTGTAGAAGGAAGGTAAAGAGGGTGTGGCCACTTCTACTCAAGACTCCTTCTTATTTCCACCCTATTGACCTGTTCTTCCCTATTGGTGAGGACCAAACCAAAGGCAATTAATTCTCCTTTCATGTTTCTTCCATCCTCTGGAAGACCAGGTTGTTGACAAAGAAGTGAAGAATTTGGTGGGCTGTCCATTTTTGGTAGAGTTGGTCTTCCAACAAATATCAGGAGAGTTGAAGCCTCCCATTACTACTTTATCTCTTTGAATGTTTGGTGAACTGATCTAGGAGGGCATTATCCAGTCACTATCCAGTCTAACTTGGAGGGCTGTAGCAAACTTGTCACTACTGTTTCTCTGACCTCTGATTTTTATCCAAATGCTGTCTACCAACTACCCATGCTTCTACTCATGGATATCCTTCTCCTTCTCCACATCTTTTATATATAATGCCACTCCTCTTCCCTTCCTAGTTGGTCTATTCTTTTTGAACGAGTGTTTGAGTTATCAGTGACATCCCAGTAGGTTTCTGTAATGCCTGTTAAATCATATTTGCCTTCCTGTGTTAACAGTTCAAGCTCGTCTTCTATGTTTCCCATGCTCTATTAGTACAGAGATATTATAAACCTGGTGTCATAACAACCACCACAACAGCAACAACAGTCTTAGAACTGCAGAGCTGGGAGGGACCCTATGGCTCAAGGAGGCCAGCCCCTGTCAAGGAGGCCTAGTGGGGCACAGAAGTCCCAATATCTATCTCTCTAATTAGATATTTAAACCACTGATTCTCACCAGCTGCTTCCTTATTGTCTTTTCCCATCCATGGGTGAGTTCCTGTACTAATGCTTCAAGTTTCTGGTGAATCACTGACATTTTCCCCCCAGGACATGGTGCCCCTTTTCCCCTGGAATATCATCTCCCTCCCCAGCAGGATTCAGTTAAAGACTTCCTGTGTGTAACAGTCCTACCAAACAGGTTCTTTCTAGCTCCTGTGAAGTCTAACCCACCTCTTGTTAGAAGGCTTTCCCCATGGAAATGCAGTATAGTGGTGCCTCGCAAGACGATGTTAATTCATTCCGCGAAAAACGCTGTCTTGCGAACACATCGTCTTGCGAAACGCAGTTCCTCATAGGAATGCACTGAAATCTATTTAATGCGTTCCAATGGGGAAAAATCATTGTCTTGCAAAAATTGTCCATAGAAAACATTGTGCCTCCAGGTCTTTGACTCTCCTACCCACAGCCTTGTAGTCACTTGCAACAGGCTGAGCGCTGCATCTGGCCGGTATTGTTTGTCCGCATGAGGATCAGAAGGAAGGGACCATGGTCGGTGTGTTCGGTGAGCCTTCTCAAGCTCTCTGTCACATCTTGGATCTTTGCCCCAGGGAGACAGCATATCCTTCCTGAGATATTCTGTCCAATGCCTAGACGGTTGCCTCTGTTCCCACAGCAGGGACTCACCTACCCCCCATGACATGTATTCTCCTCTGGGAGGAGACAAGAGCCATTTCATTTACAGTCTCCTCCATGACCATGTTGTCTAGCCCCAAGGATACATCATGCCTGCTCTGAGTTTTACTTCTCTGTGCCCTGCTCCTCCTAAGGCTTGCCTTCGGCTCTTGGGATTCTTCTTTCTTCCCAGAGACAGACGCATCTCTGTGGTCCTTTCTGGAGAGTTTGCTCTGCTCCATCTAGAAACACATCCTCTTCCCTGAGGACCAAAGCATGGATAAGCAGGCTTTAAAGCGGCTGCACCCTCTCTTCTAGCAGGGCAACCAGCTTGCCTTCCCTGGAGGGAGAGACGTCTACATTTTCAGACAGGAAGAAAACACGAGTGCAGATATTGCAGCTCCCTGTAACCGTTCCCTCATCATCCATTTAGTCCTATAGGGATGTTTATGGAGCCGTCTGTGAGGGCAGAGGCTCCAGCTGTCCCTTGGGGGAGCTGTCTGTGGCGGGCTGTCTCAGACCCATGTCCCTCCAGCAGACTTCAGGGAGACTCCCGCAATAGGGCTGCCTGAGGGCACAGACAGTGCGGTGAGGGGAGCAGAGGTTGATAAGCCACATCAGAAGGATGCGGCAGAAGACAACTTGGGTTTAGAGGAGGAGGAGCAGGAAGAAGAAGAGGAAGAGGAGGACTTGGACTTGTCATGCTCAACAGACTCTGAGGGCGAAGAGTGGGCAGAAGCTGTGGAAGAGCTGGCTCCCTTTTCTGCACCCTCAGGGAGGTGATCTGGAACCCCTGGACTGGAGAATGGGTCCAGTTTCCAGCTGGGTAAGGGGACACAAGGAGATGCACCCCCTTCAGCTCTTTCTCCAATGATCCCCGGAGACCAAAACATCTTGCTGGGCCCACCAGCCCTGCCCTGACCCAGGGCAGGCACTGGTGGAGGAAGTGGCAGAAAGGGCTCCTACGGCAGAGCTGCTCCTGGCAGGTTGGACAGCATCCAACAGACCATACAGGCCCTCCTTGGAAGGTGTCAGCTGACCAGGGTCAATGTGACCAACTAGACCTTAGTCCTGGACTGGAGTCTTCGCTGACCTAGTGACTGGAATTCAGGCTCAGTTGAGGGAAGAGCCCCATGGAGGGCTAGTGGAGCCAACAGTCATCATAGATTCATATCATAGAATTATCGTAGGGTTGCAAGGGACCTTGGAGGTCTTCTAGTTCAACCTCCTGCCCAAGGGACCTTATATGATCCATTTGAAAGTGGACTAGGGGGCAGGCTTGGGTACCCAACCAACCTTTATATCTTCCCCTTCCATTCCAATAAAGGCCAGCTCAAGCAGAGATGGGAGTCTGGAATTCATGGAGCACATTGTCAAAGAGACTGTCCTCACACACAGCCCCAATAAGGACAGGGAAGGCAGAATTCCACACTTGTCTTTCCTTCAAACTCCTCAACTAAATGCCTCCGTAAAAGGAAATGAGTCTTGCTCATGAGCTCACAGGGACTGGGAATTGCAGCTATAAATGGCAGCTGCTAACTCTGCCCACTTTCTCTGTGTTACAGCCCTTCTCCTTGGAGCACAGCACACGGCTGCGCTCAAAGAGCCAAAAACACATACAAACGTCCAAAATTATTTTTTTTAAAAAACATCCTGTCAGCACAACTTAACCCCCTTGGGTGGCGAGGAAGAAATGACAGCAAGGGGGGAAAAAGGGTGAGTAAAACCAGCACTTAGGAGGGGCATTCAAAGAATGAAACTAAAAGGTGCCCCACCTGAAGTAGGAAGCCAGGAAGAAGTCAATCAAACCCACATTTGATCTTTTGAATTGTATACCTGGCCTTTGCATTTGAAAAGTGGGTGGAAGCTGGCATTGCTCCCCAGTAGAAGTGGGGTATGTTCCTACTTGTAGATCCCTCCGTGCACTGGAGGCTGGGGACTCCAATGCCATGTGGGTGGCGAATTCGCTCCGCATGTCGATCTCAACTTTAAAGGAGAAATCCAAAGTTCTGAAGCGGCTTGGGAATAACAT